CCTATGGTCCCAGCTACTTGGGAGGCTGAGGCAGGAGACTCGCTTGAGCCCAGGAGTTGGAGGTTGCTGTGAGCTGTGATGCCATGGCACTGTACCCATGGGGATAGCTTGAGGCTCTGTCTCAAAAAAAACAAAACAAAACAGAGATGGAGTCTCACTCTTGCTCAGGCTGGTCTTGAACTTTTGAGCTCAAGCAATACTCCTGCCTTGGCCTCCCAGAGTGCTAGGATTACAGTTGTAAGATATCACACCTGGCCCTTATTTCAGAGTCTTGTTGATAGTCACAGCTTTGGCTACTCAGAGAATAACTTCTGTCCTGATGGGATGTTGTTGACATTTTTCTTGAGGCTTCTGAGTGTATCAAAATAGAGGGTTGTTTAACTGTCTCTTTCATTCTCCTTTCCACAAAACCTTCATTTACTTCATTCATTTCAGTCTCTCCTGAGGTTTTCCATCCCCCTTTGTTTTGCATAGTGCCTTCTTTCCCTCCTCTCCTCTCTGCCTGTTTTTCCTACCCTTGTGGCTTTCTCCAGACCAGGTTAGGTAAGCATACTAGTAAGTGTGCTTAACTGGATTAAAATGATTGCCCTGAAGTGTTTTTAAAAAGACTTTTTTTCTTTTTTTAAAAAGACTTTGTCACCTTTGGTAGAGTGCAGTGGCATCGTAGCTCACCTCAACCTCAAACTCTTGGACTCAAGCAGTTCTCTTGCCTTAGCTCCCAAGTAGCTGGGACTATAGGTGCCCACCACAATGCCCAGCTATTTTTAGAGGTGGAGTCTCTCTCTTGCTCAGGCTGGTCTTGAGCCTGTAAACTCATGGAGTCTACCCACCTCGGCCTCCCAAGTGCTGCAATTACAGGTGTGAGCCACTATGCCCAGCCACTAAGAAGACTTTTATGATATAAGACTTATTATCTATGACTTAGTAGGGGAGGTATAAAGAACTAGAACCACTTAAAATGAGAGATTTTTGGTTTATGTTGTAAGGAAGATCTTTAATAATAAAGGTGCCTAAAAAATGTAATGTTAACCTCTTGTTGAAGGAATCACTGTGTCCAATGACTTACCATGATATTAACAAAGAAGATTGATGTAGCTGGGCACAGTTGCTCATGCCTATAATCCTAGCACTTTGGAAGGCAGAGATTGGAGGATCACTTGAGGCCAGAAGTTCAAGACCAGCCTGAGGAAGAGTGAGATGCAATCTCTACAAGAAAATATAAAAATTATTCAGGTGTGGTGGTAAGCGCCTGTCGTCCCAGCTTGTTGGGAGGCTAAGGCAGGAGGATTGCGTGAGTCTGGAGTTTGTGGTTATAATGAGTTATGATGATGCCACTGCACTCTAGCTGGGGCAACAGAGTGAAACTCTATCTCAAGAAAAAAGAGACCCATGTATCATGTAGGCAGATATTGGTCTGCAGAGTGGAAGCTTAGTACTTTGCAGATTATTGCCAGGGTATGTAGGACTCTGTTGTCCTATACACAGTTGACTTGCTCATTTAAGTTACCTGCTTTAACCTTGAAGGGCATTTGACTTTGAAGTAGTTTAACATTCAGTTTCTCAAAATTCTATAATTCCATGATATAAAATAATATTTTTTTCTTATCTAATAGTTGGCTATAATATGGAACTTAGATATATAAATACATTTTATGTTTTTATTTTTTGAGACAGAATCTCACTCTTTGCCTAAGCTAGAGTGCCGTGCCTGCAGCCTAGCACACAGCAACCTCAAACTCCTGGGTTTAAGCAATCCTCCTGCTTTAGCCCCCAGAGTAGCTGGAACTACTGGTGCTTACTACAACACTGGGCTAATTTTTTTCTAATTACAGTAGAGATGAGGTCTCACTTTTGGCTCAGGCTGGTTTCCTGAGCTCAGGGGATTCTCCCATAGAAGGGTGAGCCACCATGCCTGGTCCATTGACTGTTTTTATTAAATGAAATTTAGTTGCTACATTTAAATAGTTAAATGTAACTTTTGAAATATTTCCCTTTCATAAAAAACTAAACTTAAGTCGCTTTTATTTTTGTAGGAGCCTTAAATTTTCCTGCTATGTTCAGATGCCATAGTTAAGAAAGTCTTTCCTCTTTCCCCTTAGTTTATTATTTATTCTCTTTTTCAGATGATCTTGTATTTGGTGTTATAGTTATATTTCAGATTTTGCAGTTTTAAATTATTCAGAGGATTTTCCTCTCAAGTTGTGGATAACAGTCACTTGAATTTTCAGTATGTAGTAAAGCCTTTTAATAATGACGGAGTGTGTGTGTGTGTTTTGTTTGTTTGGTTATTTATTTATTTATTTTTGTAGAGACAGAGTCTCACTTCATCGCCCTTGGTAGAGTGCTGTGGCATCACACAGCTTACAGCAACCACCAACTCCTGGGCTCAGGTGATTCTCTTGCCTCAGCCTCCTGAGTAGCTGCGACTAGAGGTGCCCCCACAACGCTCGGCTATTTTTTTTTGTTGCAATTTGGCCAGGGCTGGTTTTGAACTGGCCACCTTCAGTATATGGGGCCGGCTCCCTACTCACTGAGCCATAGGCACTGCCCTTATTTATTTATTTGTTGACAGAATGTCACTGTTGCCCTGGGTAGAGTGTGGGTCATAGCTCACAGGAACCTCAAACTCTTCTGCTCAGCGATCCTCTAACCTCAGCCTCCTGAATAGCCGGGGTTGCTTGCCACAATGCCTGACTATTTTTAGAGATGGGGTCTTACTCTTGCTGAGGGTGGTCTGAAACTCCTGAGCTCAAGCAATCCTCCCACCTCAGCCTCTCAGAAGTTTTTCATTTTTAGTAGAGATAGATTTCACTCTCACTCAGGCTGGTCTTGAACTCCTGAACTCAACCAATCCAAATGCCCCAGCCTCCCAGAGTGCTAGGATTACAGGCATGAGCCACCACACTTGGCCCCTGTGCTTTATTTTTTTTATTTTTTTAATTTTACTTATTTATTTATTTTTTTTAAGAGACAGTCTTGGCTCGATGTCTGTGGCTCAAGTGGCTAAGATGGCCAGCCACATACACTCAAGGTGGTGGGTTCGAATCCAGCCCAGGCCCGCCAAACAACAGTGACGGCTGCAACCAAAAAATAGCCAGGTGTTGTGGCGGGCGCCTGTGGTCCCAGCTACTCGGGAGGCTGAGGCAGGAGACTCGCTTGAGCCCAGGAGCTGGAGGTTGCTGTGAGCTGGGACGCCATGGCACTCTACCCAGGGGGACAGCTTGAGGCTCTATCTCAAAAAAAAAAAGAGAGACAGAGTCTCACTTTGTCACCCTCGGTAGAGTGCTGTGGTGTCACAGCTCACAGCAACCTCCAGCTTTTGGGCATAGGTAATTCTCTTGCCTCGGCCTTCCGAGTAGCTGGGACTACAGGCATCTGCCACAACACCCAGCTATTTTCTTGTTGCAGTTTGGCCCGAGGCTGGGTTTGAACCCACCACCCTCAGTATATGGGGCCGGCACCCTGCTCACACAGCCACAGGCACTGCCCTTGTGTTTTTGTTTTTAAGAGAAAGAAATTTACTAAGAATTATTGGGAGGGCTGAAAAAACAGAGTTTAGACTTAATTCTAGGAACAGTTGATTATGAACTTTTTTCTTGTTGTTTTAAGGTCTTGGTCTGTTAACTCTCCATAACCTCTTAAACTCATGGGCCCAAGTGATCCTCTCACCTCAGCCTCCTAAGCATCTGGGACTACAGATGCACACAAACATGCTTGGCTAATTTTTCTGGTTTTTTGTAGGTACACGGGGTGTTGTTGCCTGGGCTGATCTTGATCTTCTGCTTGCCTTGGCCTCCCAAAGTGTTAGGATTACAGGCATGAGTCACTTCACCTGGCCAGCCAGTCCCATTTTTTTCCTGGTTAAGAATGGCTGCAAAAATTTTTCATGAGTTGGGCATCTGCAAAGATCTTATGTGTATGTGTTACATGTATATGTCAAGATCCAGCTGTTACCTGCAGTAAAAAATTTGCATGGAGGCTGAACCTTCTGTAAAGTGGGGGAACATTTAAAAATGTTAATGTAGAACAATGGATTTTAGCAAAAAATAGATTATAAACTTATTTGGTTTATTAGTATTATGATTTTGGGCAGGTTAGTTACCCTTTGTGAACTTCATTTGTTAGGCATTTTATATCTTTCTGCATGTATGTGTGTGTGTGTTATTTCAGGTTAATGTAAGGGTACAGACACCTAGGTTACAACATTTGCATTTGTTAGATAGAGTCCCTCTTGTAGTTGTGTCCCATACTCAAGAAGTTGTTAGGCATTTTAAACTAGGTAAAGTATATAAAAAACCTCTAGCTGGCATTTAGTAGATGCTTAATCATGTAATATTTGTATACTTACAAGGAAGATTGTATTTGGGTCTCATAAATTATGGATACCTTTTTTTTTTTTTGAGAAAGAGCCACAGGCTGTTGCCTGGGATAGAGTGCTATGGCATCACAGCTCACAGAAACCTCCAACTCCTGGGCTCAAGCGATTCTCCTATCTCTGCCTCCCAAGTAGCTGGGACTACGGGTGACTGCTACAATACCCAGCTGTTTTTTGATTGCAGCTGTCATTGTTGTTTGGTGGGCTGGGCTGGATTCAAACCCACCAGCTCAGGTGTATATGGCTGGTGCCTTAGCCACTTGAGCCACACGCGCCAAGCCTAAATTGTGGATACTTGAGGAGAAATAAATCATTCTCTTTTATTGTTTTAGAGTTATAACTGGTTTTTCATTTCTTCTCCTTGTCTCATCCTTGATCTTTGCAGCTCCTGGATCTCCCAGGTATCATTGAAGGTGCCAAGGATGGGAAAGGTAGAGGCCGTCAAGTCATTGCAGGTGAGTGGTCCAGGGCCACCATCTTGGGATATCATCCCCTGGTATTATTCCTTTAGCCCAGTGGTTCTCAACCTTCCTAATATCGCAGCCCTTTAATATAGTTCCTGTGGGTCTTGACCCACAGGTTGAGAACTGCTGTGTTTAGCCAGAGACTATTAGGCTTGGAGATTATACCACTGTGAAGTGCATAGTTTCACCTGACTTCTTACCAGAGTAGAATGCCTGAACTTGACGGAATCTCAGAAAATTATAGTCCAGGCTCTCCATTAAAGGAGAAACAGGAGAATTGAAGTGCTTTGGTCCAGTGTTGAATTGCTGCTGGAATTCAGGTTTCCATGCTTTTCCTTCTTTTCTTTTTTTGAAAGTAAAATATAATGAAAGGCAAATCATAAATTGCAGCAATCTCTTCTTATGTCTGTTATCACTCCCCATGGGCAGCCACTCTTCAGTTTTTCCTTCTGCTACCTTCATATTTTTAGATATTATGCTTATACTGCTGTTTAGTGATTAATTTTAGGTATTATTTATTGGTTTCATGTTACAGTAGCTCTCTCATTTTCCATATCTCTCTTCTTCCATTCTTTTTTTTTTTTTTGAGACAGAGCCTCAAGCTATCCCCCTGGGTAGAGTGCCATGGCATCACGCTCACAGCAACCTCCAACTCCTGGGCTCAAGCGAGTCTCCTGCCTCTGTCTCCCAAGTAGCTGGGACTACAGGCGCCCGCCACAATGCCTGGCCATTTTTTGGTTGCAGCCATCGTTGTTTGGTGGGCCCGGGCTGGGGATTCGAACTCGCCACCTTAGGTGTATGTGGCTGGCGCCTTAGCTGCTTGAGCCACAGGAGCTGAGCCTCTTCTTCCATTCTTTGAAAGAAATTATATTCCAGTTTAGTTAAATCACTAGTCATGATTTACCTTATTATGTAATGCCTGTATAACTTTTGTTCAGTGCTGAGATAAATAGTATGCTATGAACTGTTTTATTTTCTCTTGAAATCTTTGTTTTTTATGGAGTTAATACTTGGTTCCTTTTTTCCTTTTGTTTATATGTATGTGTGTTTGTTAATAATTTTCAAATTTTCCAGCAAATCAAATGTCTATCAACCAATATTTTTCAAAATACTTAAACACAGTTCCAGTACACTCTTATTAATAATTCTTTCCCTGTAACCCTGACATACACTCCTATATTCTTTGTCTTTGTGTTTCAATTTGTATTGATTACTTTCTACATCAGTGCTGTCTGGTAAACAGTGGAAATGTTCAGAATTAGTACTGTTCAATACTATATAGCTCCTAGCCATTTGTGGTTGTTGAGCACTTGAAATGTGCCTAGCACAATTGAGGACTGAATTTTTTTTAGTTTTAATTAGTTTAAATTTAAATAGCCAGAGGTAGCTAGTGGAATCTATATTGAACATTTTGCATGGCTATTATCCTGAGATTTTCTTCTGCCCTTTTTTTGTGTGGGGTCCCGTATTTTTGAGGAATAGTGTTTATTTTCTTGGCGTTATTTCTGTATTTTGCTGAAGCACATGCTTTAGTAACTTTCCTAGAAGGTGAATGATAAAAGTAAATTTTTCTGTCTTCTTTTTTTTTTGAGACAGAGTCTAATTTTGTCGCCCTTGGTAGAGTGCATGGCGTCACAGCTCACAGCAACCTCAAACTCTTGGACTTAAGCGATTCTCTTGCCTCTGCCTCCCAAGTAGCTGGGACAACAGGTGCCTGTCACAACACCCAGCTATTTTTTTGTTGCAGTTGCCATTGTTGTTCAATTGGCCCAGGCCAGGTTTGAACCCACCAGCCCCAATGTATGTGGCTCGCACCCTAGCCGCTGAGCTACAGGCAGTGAGCCACAGCTGTTGTTTTTTTTTTTTTTTTTGTAGTGACAGAGTCTTACTTTATCACCCTCAGTAGAGTGCCATGGTGTCACACAGCTTACAGCAACCTCCAACTCCTGCCTCAGCTTCCCAAGCAGCTGGGACTATAAGCACCCGCCACAACACCCAGATATTTTTTGTTGCAGTTTGGCCGGGGCTGGGTTTGAACTGTCCACTCTTGGTATATGGGGCCAGTGCCCTACCCACTGAGCCACAGGTGCTGCCCAGCCACAGCTGTTTTTTTAGAGACTGAGTACTTGCTGTGGCTCAGGCTGGTCTTGAACCCATGAGCTTAGGCAGTTCACCTCCCTCGGCCTCCCTTGGCTTCCCAGAGTGCTGGGATTACAGGCATGAGCCACTATACCCAGCCTGCATATAGTTTTTGTTCATCCATTCTGTAGATACTTCACTTGGGATAATGGCCTTCACTTCCATCCAAATTGTTGCAAAAAGGATTATGTCATCCTTCTTCATGGCTGAGTCGTATTCTCTCTGTGTGTATATGTGTATGTCACATTTTTTTTAATCCACTGATGAATTGATAGGCACTTGGGTTGATTCCACATCTCTGCAATTGTGAATTATTCTACAGTAAACATTCAAGTGGAGGTGTCTTTTTGATGAAGTTACTTTTTTCCTTTTCCTTTGGGTAAATATTCAGTAGTGGGATTCTTCAATCAAAAGGTACATCTACTTTTATTTCTTTGTGGAATTTTAATACTGTTTTCCATAAAGGTTTACTAATTTGTAGTCTGACCAGTAGTATATATGTCTTTTACTTTTTTCTTTGTGAAATTTTCTCAGTTTATTATCCAGTTCCCCTATTAAGTTTATTTCTACTATGGTATCAATTTTAGTTTAAGACTTTAAGACTTTGCTTCTCTTTTTCAGCATTTTATTTGTTTCATGGATGTATTGTTTACTCTTAGACTCTTACTTGCTTTCTTGCTTTTATCAAGGACACCTCTGACTTCCCCCAGTCAGACCTAATGGTAAAATTTTTTTTTTTTTTTAAAGACGGGGTCTCACTCTTGCTTAGGCTGATCTTGAACTCCTGAGCTCAAGCAATCCACCTGTCTCAGCCTCCCAAGATGCTAGGATTATAGGTGCTGTACCCAGCCCATCCACACCTTTCTTGAGAGGGTAACACAGGTATCACTCTTTCCTTAAAATATTTGCTTTACTTGTTCTCTGAGACGCCAGTGTTTCTTCTTGGTCTCTTTGGCATGATTTGCCCCATTTTCAAGATTTCTCTAAGTGTGGATTCATTGGGCTGGGCATAGTGGCTCATGCCTGCCTATAATCACAGCACTTTGGGAGGGTGATGTGGACTGATCGCCTGAGGTCAGGAGTCAGAAACCAGGGGGAGATTGAATGAATCCTCACTTCTAAAAATTGCTGGGCATTGTCGTGGGCACCTGTAGTCCTAGCTACTTGGGAGGCTGAGGTAAGAGAATCACTTGAGCCCAGGAGTCTGAGGTTGCTGTGAGCTATGATGCCTCAGCTCTCTACCAGGGGTGACAAAATGTGACTCTGTCTCAAGAAAAAAATGCTTGGCACCGGTAGTCCCAGCTACTTAGAAGGCTGAGACAAGAGAATTGCTTAAGCCCAAGAATTTAAGGTTGCTATGAGCAACCATGGCACCATGGCACTCTACTAAGGGCAATATAGTCAGACTCATATAGTGAGGTTGCTATGAGCAACCATGATACCATGGCACTCTACTAAGGGCAATATAGTGAGAGTCTGTCTCAAAAAAAAAAGTGTTTGTGTATTGATTGCCTGAGAGTCTACTCTTGGAGATTCTTTATTTCCCTGTTTCTGTCTTTGTTAAATGAGGGTTTTCTTATCTAGTTCCTTGGTTTTAAATACCTGGATCTATGTTCTTTTTTTTTTTTTGAGACAGAGTCTCACTATGTTGCCCTCATTAGAGTGCTGTGGCGTCACAGCTCACAGCAACTTCAAACTCTTGTGCTCAAGTGATTCTTTTGCCTCAGCCTCCTAAGTAGCTGGGACTGCAGGCACCTGCCACAATGCCTGGCTATTTTTTTGTTGCAGTTGTCATTGTCATTTAGCTGGACCAGCCGGGCTTGAACCTGCCAGCCTCAGTGTATGTGGCTGGCACCGTAACCACTGAGCTATAGGTGCCGAGCTCTGGATCTGTATTCTAATGATTATGAAATGTGTAGCAATACTTTGCTATCTCATTTAGTTTATTTATTTTTTTGAGACGAAGTCTCACTATGTCACCCTGGGTAGTGGTGTGGCATCACAGCTCATAGGAACCTCAAACTCTCGGGCTTAAGGGTGAGGGTGATACCTGTGGCTCAGTGAGTGGGGCATTGGTCCTATATACTGAGGGTGGCGGGTTCAAATCCAGCCCTGGCCAAACTGCAACAAAACAGTAGCTGGGTGTTGTGATGGGCACCTGTAGTCCCAGGTACTTGAGAGGCTAAGGCAAGAAAAGTGCCTAAGCCCAGGAGTTGGAGGTTGCTGTGAGCTGTTATGCCACAGCACTGTACCAAGGGCAATAAAGTGAGAGTCTGTCTCAAAAAAAAACAAAACTCTTGGGCTTAAGAAATTTTCTTGCCTCAGCCTCCCAAGTAGCTGGAACTACAGGTGCCCACCACAACACCTGGCTATTTTTTGGTTGTGGTTGTCATTGTTATTTGGCAGGCCTGGCCTGGATTTGAACCTGCCACCTCTGGTGTATGAGGCTGGCACCCTAGCCACTGAGCTACTGGCACCCAGCCACTCTCTCATTTACTTTAGACCGGCTGCTAACATATCTCTACTTGGATGTCTTATTATGTGCCTCAGACTTAATGTGTGGTGTTGAATACTTGATCTCCCATCTCTAGCTTGCTCTTGCCTTAGTCTTTTCCATCTCTTTTTTTTTTTTTTTTAGACAGGGCCTCAAGCTATCCCCTTGGGTAAAGGGCTGCGGCATCATAGCTCCCAGCAACCTCCAACTCCTGGGCTCAAGCGAGTCTCCTACCCAAGCCTCCCAAGTAGCTGGGACCACAGGCATCTGTTACAACGCCCAGCTATTTTTTTGGTTGCAGCCGTCATTGTTGTTTTGGCGGGCCTGGGCTGGATTCGAACCCAGTGTATGTGGCTGGCACCTTAGCCGCTTGAGCCACAGGCACCAAGCCAGTCTTTTCCATCTCAGTAAAAGGCTTATATATCTTTCAAGCTT